AATTTTGGGAGCAATAAAGGAAATTTCATGAGGGGAAAAGGGTCCTGGAAGGGGGAAAAAGGGCGGGGAAATGGAATTTGGGGGGAGTTAGGAGGAATTTGGGGGATTTTAAGGGAATTTTGGGGTCTGGGGGGGTTCGGGGGGTCCCAAAAATTTGGGGAGGGTCCCAGATTTTGGATTTTTGGGGGGTCCCGGGTGGTTTTGGGGTCCCTGATCCCCCTTGGTCCCCCCAGAGCTGCGGATCGGCCTCACGGAGGAATTTTGTGTGGGAAAATCGGAGCTGAGGGGTGAGACCCCCCCCAAAATTCCCAAATTCCTGAGATCCCCAAAATCTGCCCCAAAAATCACAAAATCACCCCAAAATTCCCCAAACCCCAAAAAATCCCCCCAAACTTCCCCCCAAAAATCCCCAAATCTGCCCAAATCCACCTTTTTCCCCTTCCAGGACCTTTTACCTCACAAAATTCCCTTTAATTCTCCCAAAATCCCCCCAAAATTCCCCCAAATTTCTCCCAAATTTCTCACAAAATCCACGCAAAATTCCCATTTTCCCTTTCCCATCACCTTTTAATCCCTTTTTTACCCCCCAAAAAAAATTTTCCCCATTTTCCCCTAAAAATCCACTTTAAATGCCCCAAAACCCCCTCAGCCCCCACAAACTTTCTGGAACTTTCCATAATTCCCAAATTTTTCTCAAAATTCCTTAATTCCCTCTTCCCATCACCTTTTACCTCCCTAATACCCTGCAAAAATTCCTTTTTTTTTCCCCATTTTTTCCCCTAAAAACCCACTTTAAACGCCCCAACCCCCCCCGAACCCTCCGGAACTCTCCGGAACTTTCCGGAGGCCTCGGGAATTTCCCGGAATTCCGGGAATTTCCGGGAATCGCCAGGGTACGGCACGCCGGTGCGGGTGGACGAGTGCAGCTTCCACAGCAGCGTCAGCCTGGCCGAGTTCGGCTCCGGCCGCGTCCTCAGCCTGCGCCCCGAGCCCGGAGAGGTCCGGGAATTCGGGAAATCCGGGGAAAATCCGGGAATTCCGGAATTCCGGGAAATTTGGG